CATCATCATCATCCTCATCCTTCTCCTCCTCCCCCGCTCCTCGCTCGCTCCCCCGCCCCCCTCCCTTGCGCGCTCCTCGCCGCCGCGGTGCGTCGGGACCTGGCCGGTCTGCGAGGCTCCACGCCTGGGGCGCGCGGCGCCGCCCCTGCGGGGCCCCTCGGCTGCCCCGTCGCGGCGATGGCGGTTCGCTCTCGACGGCTGCCGATTCCGATCCCGATTCGATTTCGGATTCCGATGCCGCATCGGCGATGCGGGCTCCGATTTTTCCATGGACGCAGACTAGCCTGCCGATTGCTGCCGATTCGACGTTTCCCGACTCGGCTGCCCAGATTTCCGCCGATCGGGTTCGTTTCGATCGCCGATCCGACTTATCGATTCGATCCTGGGCTCTCCTGTCCGGGCAGCAGGTCACGGCGGACCAAGCCCCCCCCACGGAACCCGAAGGCCCCAGAGGTCACCCCAAAATCTTCTCGGGTTGGGGGGCGTACAGGTTCCAGCGTGTTTCCTCGATGTCCTGGAGTGCCACCCCCCGCCGGAAATCGACGAGCCCAACGGTGCCTTCGGGTGGGGTCGGGGTGGTTTGATCGGCAGTAAGCAGGCTCGAACTTCGAGGTTCCTTGTGTGTGTGTGTTCTGACGTTGCCGTGGATTCCCCGAGGGCTTCCAGCCTGGGGAGTGCCTCCCACTAGCTCCGCCTCGCCGAGGGACCCCTACATGGGATGCCCGAGTCGTCCTGAGCGGCCGCCGGGGACCCGAGATTTTGACCCGAAGCACAGTCATCCTGCGCCTCGAAACAATCGAGGCGGTCGGTTCCTCAGTCTTCTTTTGTTTGCCACTGGAGGCCAGTTGCGGGCCTTGCGCCATTTGTTCCTCCACCCGTGTGTGTGTGTGTGCTGTGGGTGTTGTGTGTGCCCTGTTCGGCTCCACCAACAGTACGCGGCCCGCGTCGGCCCTCACTGCACCGCCCCCGACGCAGCCTGAGGGACCATCTCGGTGGACATGCGCACGCTGGTGCTGCAGTGGAAGCCCATGCCAAGAAACACCCTGCTTGCCTCCAGGGTGCCCCGGGTTTCTGGGGTTCCGATGGTTCTGCTGTGGAGCGCGTGGGGTTCCCGCACCACGAACCCATGGACGTCCTGGGGTCTCAGGGTTGGGCGTCTTGTGGAAGGCTTCTTGTGGCTGAGCTCCTTCTGTACAGCTGCACGCTCTGACGCTCCGTCGGCGGTTGCCCGGTCGGCCCCGCCGAGTGCCTCGCGGGTGGGCGGCGCCCGATCGCCAGCGCGGCGCGCGGCGCGGCACACGGCCTCTGCAGGGAGCCTTGGAGCGCCGGAGCTCCCGACGACGACGCCACCCTGCGAGGTGGCAGCGGCAGGCTCTGAGCACTGGCGGCGTCCCTTCGGAGACCGCTGCTCCTCCCGGTCCTTCTGCTCTGCCCCGCTGCTCCTCGCTCCTCGGCTCTGGAGATTGTCTGAAATCTCCTGGCGATGCCAGGCGCGACGGGGGGGTGGCTGTGTGTCGCGGCCTGCACGTTGTTGTTGTTGTTGTTGTTGTTGTTGTTGTTGTTGTTGTTGTTGTTGTTGTTGTTGTTGTTGTTGTTGTTGGTTGTTGTTGTTGTTGTTGTTGTTGTTGCTGCTGCTGCTGCTGCTGCTGCTGCTGCTGCTGCTGTTGTTGTTGTTGTTGTTGTTGTTTGTGGTTGTTGGTGTTGGTGTTGTTGGTGTTGGTGTTGGTGTTGGTGTTGTTGGTGGTGGTGTTGGTGTTGGTGTTGGTGTTGGCGTCGTTGATGTTGGTGTTGTTGCTGTTGCTGGTGCTGTTGTTGTTGTGGTTGCTGTTGTCGTTGTTGTCGTCGTTGCTGTTGTTGTCGCTGTTGTCGCTGCTGTTGTTGTTGTTGCTGCTGCTGTTGTTGTTGTTGTTGTTGTTGTTGTTGTTGGTGGTGGTGTTGTTGTTGGTGGTGGTGGTGTGTGTGTGTGTTGCGTGCCCCTTGCTCGCACTGTCGCACAGCAGCCGTGGTGCATACAATGGACACCTGGTTATTGCAAGTTCTCGCTCCGCTTTCCTCCTCCCCCATCTCTCCCTCCGTCTCCTTCTCTGTGCCTTCCGCGTCTTCTCTCTCTTCCCTCCTCCCTTCCTCCTTCCTCGCTCCTCTTCTCGCTCCCTCCCTTTCGATCTCCATCCTCGTCCGCATGCCCGTTTCCTCATCCACGTCCTCCTTGTATTCATAGTCCTCCGGGCATTGCTGAGGCACTCGCCCCCAACCAAGGCCACATCATTCATTTCTCGACATCCCCTCTGCTTCCCTCCATCCTCTTCGTGCTCGCTCTCTCTCTCTCTCGTCCCCCCCCCTCTTCTGTCATCCCCTCTCCATCCTACCCCCACCGTTCGTCCTCCCCTCCACCTCCTTTGTGCCCCTTCCTCCCCCCCCCTTCCAAAGAGATCCGATGCCATGTTTGTGAATTCGGGGTCCCCGGAAGTCCCGACCTTTTCCGTGGCCAGGCGAGGGCCCCCGACACCGAAAATCGCAGGGAACGGGCGAAGGGCAGTGTTAGGTAAACTGTTTCGCCGTCGGGGACGCCTGTCCCAGGGCGGCTGGAACGTTCATACTCCATGCAGTGGCACGTCAGGGTATAACCTTTCCAGTCGCCCTGGGGCATGCGCCCCCGACGACGGAAAAGTGAACCGTTCTTCGCCCGTCAAGTTGCTGCAATACAGTCGAGAATATGATTCAGAAGCCTCCTTCTGAAAAGTTGCGCCAACGTTTCGTAACCAACTTGCTGGAAAGCTGGCCCAGCACGTTGGCCCCTCCAGCACGAAGAAACAAACGTTGGCCCAGCTTTGTTTGAATACATGTTCGGAAAGCTGGCCCGGGTTTCTTGAATCATCATTGTCTTGATCGTATGTTTGGTTGAGCCGCCTGCCCGAGCTGCTCTTTGACGCCCCAGCGCCCCGCAAGATCGAAGGATGGCCGCAAGTACGCACAGGCATACCTCCCCGCCGGTTCCCTCCCAGTCCTCGACGCCGATGGATCGACAGGGCGGTCTTGTGGGGGACTACTCGAGAAGAGTAGAAGCGTACTGGCTTGCATGCAGGTCCACCAACGAATGTTCTAAGCACCTTTAGTGGTTTGCACAACATGTTCTTGCACTGCAGGTTCTTAGATCATTTCTAGCTGAGGCCCGCCTTGTTTCAGTACATCGGCTTTATGAGAGAGAGAGAGAGCATTCCTAGGTTCTGAAAACATGTCGTGGTAGGCCCATGGGAATGCTTGGACGGTCGGTCCCTGCTCAAGCCGCGGCCCCACCGCAGCAGGCGCGCCCCGCAAGTGCGTGGAGCGGTGCTCGCTGTGAGAAAGTCTGGCCCCCACAGGTCAGAGGAGGAAAAGGCTCCGATACCGCTACCGTTCCCGCGTTTCCCCTGTTGTGGGCCTCCTGGGAGGCTCTCGTCGCCACCGCTGGGTTCGCTTCGAAATTCTTGTCAGAGCGCACCCTGGCAGAGGTCCGGGGAGTAGCCGCGTCGGTACCTTCTGGTTGCTCCCCAGGGGCGCGAAGAGAATCGCGCTTCGCGCATCCTCTTACAATCAGACCGAGGTATAAGAGCGAGGTCGGTTTGGGGAGGTTCCCCTCATGTTCTTCTTGTTTCTGTTGGATGTTCTTGTGCATCCTGGGTCGGGTACCTTTGGATGCTTTGTATGTTCTGGCCGACCGAGGGTCTCATGTTCTTGAGGGATGTTCGTTCTTCTGGCCTAGGTCCGACTTGACCCATCCTCCGACCGGGGTAAGGCATCGGGGCAGGTTTGGGACACGTATGGCTACAGCAGGTTCGCGCCGCGTTGAGGCGGCGGGGTCCCCAGCGCGAGCGCTCCGGGTGGAACGCCGCCAGTGGCCTGCAATCGGCCGGCATCGAAGGATCGACGCTGTCGGAGAGGCGCCCTTCTCCAGCGCGACGGCGCGAGGGCCTCCAGAGGCCCCCCCAAGACGCTCCGAAGCGCGCCAGAGCGTGCCACGGGGTCGACCTCAACGGTGCTTTTTCTGCGATGTCGTGGGCCGTTTTCGTTTCGACGTCGTTTGGCAGCAGAGGCGGACTGAGGGGAACGAAGAATGACATAAACATAGAAGCTCGGGGGTCCGCGCGGATTTCTCGGATCCGCGCTGGACCGACCCCCCTGCCTGGCGCGCGGAGCGCGGATCCGAGAAACCCGCGCGGACCTCAGAGTTGGTATGTTTGTATCACTCTCCGTTCCCCCAGGACTGAAGACGAAGCGAGGGAGAACGAGAGCAAAACGAGAACGGGAAGCACTGCCTGGGTCGATCCCTGGAGCGTGCTCCCGGGCGCCAGCTCCCGCTCCACGCACCCCGCCCCCGCGCTCGGTGGGGCTTGGGGGGCACGGAGCTCCCCAGAGGCCCGAGGTCCGAGGCGCCGCTTCTCCGCTCGCTCTTTCCTCCCTCTGCCCCCCCCCCCAGACATGATCGCGTCGTAAAGATTCAGGACGGGAGGTTTTCGGCCAATTTCGGCCTCGGGGGGCCCTCGCTGGGCCTCGGGACCGTCGAAGAACGACGCAGGGTGAAAGACGAGGTCCCGGGGAAAGGGTCGGGACTTCCACGGACCCCGCATTGAAAACATCAGGACGTCGCACGTCTGGACCCTCCTCTTCCAGAGGTTTTGCGGCCGTCTTCTCTCTCTCTCCTCCCTCCCCTCCTCGTGCTTCGCCCCCTCCTCCTCCCTGCGGATGCTCCTCGTCTTCATCTCCCTCCTCCTCCCTCTCCTTCTCCTCCCCCTCGCTTTCTCGCTTTCCCGCTCCTTCCTGACACGCACGCCCTCTCTCTAAGGTCTTCTCCTCCTCCTCCTCCCCCCTCACCCGCCTCCACCTTCTCCCGCCCCCTCCTGGAGGAGGGAGGACACGTCTGAAAGACCGGCGACCTCAGCGGGACTCCCCCTGCCACCCTCGGCTCCGTCTTCCCCCCCCCGCCGTTCGGCCAGGACCTGGGCGCCGGCGCTGGCTTTGTGTGGATGTTTGACACGAAGCAGGCCCCCTCCTCCTCCCCTCCTCCTCCCCCTCCTCCTTCTCCTCCTCCTCCTTCTCCTCCTCCTCCTCCTCGTCTGCGGTATGCGGAGCAACTCTGAGAGAGAACGTGATGACCTCGCTGACGACAGACCCGGAAGATGCTATAGATGCTGACGATTCTGCTAATGATGTTCTCTGTCTTTTCAGTCTCGCTGCCAGCCGCAGCCGCGACCGCACGTCCAGATCTCAAGAAATCAAAATCATGCGATGGACCGCCTGTCCCCTGGATGAGTGTCCGTGCCCAGAACACTGACCCGCGGCCTTGAGCCGACGTGCGACGCGCGCGAACCGAAGTCAGAACCTGGACTCTCCCCCGAGATGTTCGCCGGTGCTTGGGAGAACAAGGAGGTTGCATTTGAGACGGGCTTTTATTCCTCAGATGTTGTGTCACGTTTTCTCTGCACTGGGGCACCTCCCCCTCCCCCTCCTCCCCCTTCTCCTCCTCCTTCCCCTTCCTCCTCCTCCTCCCCCTCCTCCTCCCCCCTCCCCTCCTCCTCCCCCTCCTCTTCCTTCCCCTTCTCCTCCTCCTCCTCCTCCTCCTCCCCCTCCCCCTCCCCCATCCCCCTCCCCCTTCTCCTCCTCCTCCCTCTCCTCCTCCTCCTCCTCCTCCTCCTCCTGGTCGTCGTCGCCGTCGTCGTCGTCGTCGTCCTCGTCGACGTCTTCATCAACATCCGCCGAGATGATGTTTTCAATCCGCGGCCCCTGAGGACGCCTTCGACGGGGATAGTATTTTGCTCCAGATTCGTTTTTGATGGTCCCAGGGCCCGATGACGGCGGCCGCCATAGAGCCGAAATTGACAAGACAGACCGGGGTTGAAAATTTCAGCCCGTTGGGAATTTGGGAGTGTCGTCGTCGACGTCTTCGTTGCCGCTGCCGCGGCCTGCGTTGTCGTCGCCTTTCGTTGTTGGCGTGGCGACCCCCCTTCCTCTGGCAAGAGGCGCTCGAGCGGGAGGTGCAGGAGCAGGCCGAGAAGGCGGCGGTGGCGGCGAAGGCCAAGCTGGCCAACAAGCTGAGGTGTGCCCGTGCAGCACCACCATCGGGGGGGGTGCAACCACGTGCGAATCCTACCAAGACTATTGCGACAATCGAGACGAAGGTGTTCCGTCGTTTTCGGCCGCAGGGGCCCTCGCCGGGCCCCGTGACCGCCGGAAAACGATTCGGGACGGAATGCCAGCCCAGAGAGGGGTCGGAACTTCCGGGGACCCCGCATTGAATTAATCAAGACGTCGGATCTCTCGGGTACGAAAAAGCTTGTGGCGAGACAGCAGCACTTGTTGACTCCTGAAGAGAATTCGATGTCGGTGTCGCCGCGGGCGTTGTCCGTTTGAGGAAAAGCACCGCCTGCTCAACCATGACCGCTGCCGGTTTTGGACAGCGTGTGCTGTGGGGCATCGCGTTCACATATTCTCCGTACCCATGTCGAGCTTCGGACGTGCGATCTTGCTAACCCTGCCCCTGCGAACCCTAGCCCTGCGAACCCGACCCGGGTGTCAGAAATCTGTCCTGCAGGGGTCGGGCAAGGCTCAGATATGATTGCCCGGGGTGGCAGCGGGCGGAAAGACCGACGCTGCTGTACTACCATGTTCAGCCTCTGGAGACCCGATGTGGGCCCCGGGACCGTTAGAAGTCGATCTGGCATGGGACGTTAGCCGGGATGGATCCCGTGAGAGGTGCAGACAGACTGATTTTGAGTTCGTGTTGGTCGGGCCCTGACGTCAATTCGAAATGCAAGGATCACATGTTTTTGAAAGTTTGCGGCGTCTGTGCTTGTGTTCAGCTCGCGTTTGGCAAGCTTGATCGCATGTAGGGGAGGTCCCTCCCGCGAAGCCCCTGAAGGAAAGCTGGAAATCGCGGCGGTCGAGCTTGTCCAGGCCAGCACTGAATGAAAATGGCGGGAGCCGGGGGAAGCAACATCGCTTACTAATGAAACTTGCCAGGTGGTACAGCCACAAGTCTTGCTGTTGTTCCTTGTCTTACAGCAACCTCCGCTGAGACCCATCCGAGACTGCGGGGAGCATCCAAAGTCCGGAGACCGCCTCCCGCTCGCTTCTTGTTTCTCTTTTCTGCCGCAGCTCGAAGAAGGAGCTCCTGCACACACACACACACAGCACGCACGCACGCACACACACACAAACACAAACACAAACACAAACACAAACACAAACACAAACACAAACACAAACACACACACACAAGCATACACAGACACAACCAACATACCCACACACGCACACACAGACATACACACAAACCATCTCGGAGATCTCCCCGCGGAGCCCCGAACGTCTTGCGGCCGATCTGTTGTTCCCCCAGGGAATCTCTGGAAGCGAAGAGACTCTCCAAAGGGGCGCCGAGAAGTCCTGGCGCCGCGCCCCGAAGAGGCCGCGGTGCGGAAGAGAGGGAGGCCCGCCAGGGGGTGCACCCCGGAGAGCGCGCGCGCACGCGGAGCGCCCCCCAGGCAGAAGCAGCAGGAGCTCAAGTCGGCCGAGAAGGCTCGGCGGGGGCACCTCATGGCGGTCGCCCATTGGCTCGGGGGCGTCCAGGATTGGGGTGAGGTGATCAGGGGGGGGAGTTAAATGATTGTCATTTCAATGCTTCCCCTGGCCCCCCCGTCTCTGGGTCATAATTTGCGCACCCCCCTCTGGGACGCCCTTCTCTTGCTGACCCAGGGTTGACCTCAGAGGGCAAAAAGGTACCGATACCGCTGCCCCTGCCTCGGTTTCGTTTTTTGGGGGGGGGCCTCATGGGATGTTCTCGTCGCCACGGTTGGATTCGCCACGCACTTCTAGTCAGAAGTCACCCTGGACGATGTCAGGGGAGTAGCGGCATCGATTGTGGTTTGGTTGACTGATGACTTCTTCGCGTCGTGGCAAAATCACGGCGGATCTCTTTTTTTTTTGCGTCCTCGGCCTCCAGGAGCCCTTCATTGGGCCCCGGGGGGCGTCAGAGAGCCGCTCGGGATCAGAAGCGCCCGTCCAGGGGCGGGGGCCCAGACCTCTGGGGAGCCACGCTGTGAAGCACAAGCCCTGCCGCCTGGCCCGTACCAGTGGCGACCCCGCCGCCGGCGTTCAACGTTGAACGCCGGCGGCGGCCCAGAATCGATCGATGTTGAACGATTGAACGTTGCGGAAACGGCCGATCGTTCAAGGTTGAACGATCCCCGCGGTGTCAGAAACCAACGCCGGGGTCGACACGACGCGAACCTAACGTATCCCTGCCTGCCGGCTTCTAATCTGAAGCCCTCCTAGCCCTCAGAGTGTTATCCGGGAAACACCCGGACAGCTGGGCGCCAGAAGGACGTGGAAAGGCCTTTCGAAGATTGCTGGAAAGACCGATGGAAGGACCTAGAGAGAGCTTCCGAAGGAGCTGGAAAGCTTCTGGGCACGCGCATTGGGAGACTATTAGAAAACGCTTCTCGGGACACGCTGCAAGTTCAGGCAAGTTTTTCGATCTGATTTCACGGAGGCCAGAATCACCTCCGTGGCTACCCTGCGGCTCCAGCTTCTTAATATGAGAACTCTTAGCTCTCAGCGAGTCCCAGAACGCTTGTAGAAAACGTTTGCAAGGACGCTGAAGAGCATGCTTGGGAAGTTTGCAAGCTTGGAGAAGCTAGTTGGAAACGCTTGCCAGGACGCTTGAAAGCATGCCTTGGTAGCTTGCAAGCTTCGAAAAGCGAGCGTCGAAGGAGCTTCGAGGAAGCTGCGAAAGACCTGCGGGAAGGTGTGAGGCATGCGTATTGGGAACGAGTAGGACAACGCTCTCGGGACACGCTGGAGCTTCAAGCAAGTCGCTCCGGGGATGCCTGCCCGGGAGGGGAGCTGGCCTACCCTGCGCCGCCGGCTTCTTATCTGAAACCTTCTTAGCTTTCCAAGGAGGCATCCGGGAGGAACCGGATAGTGGCGGACTCCAAAGCGCGCAAAACGGGTATGGGAGACGCGGGCAAGGGCGCTGGAGAACATGCCTTGGGAGCTTGCAAGCTCGGGAAACGTGTTTGGGAGACGCCTGCCTTGACGCTGGAAAGCATGCCTGGTGATGCCTGCCTGGGAGCCTTGGAGAGGGACTGGCGTAGCCCTGCCTGCAGGCTTCTTATCTGAAGCCCTCTCACTTCTCAGAGAGCTATCGGGGAATCCCCGCAGAGAGATGCTTGAAGTTGCAGCGTGTTCCCGCAAGCGTTTTCCGACTGGTTCCTAATACGCGTGCCTGAAGCCTTTTTCCGCAGCTTCTTCGCAGCTCCCCCGAAGCTCCTTCGGAGCACGCTTGTCGAAGCTTGCAAGCTCCCCAGGCGTGCTTTCCAGCGTCCTGACAAGCGTTTCCAAAACACTTTTCCCGCGCTTGCAAGCTCCCCAGGCATGCTCTCCAGCGCCCTTGCAGGCGTCTCTCATAAGCGTCTCACACGCTAGACTACGTCGCTATCTCGGTTTTGGACTGCACCAGGGGGTAACATTTCATGTTGTGGCAACCTCGAAAGCATTGGTGTAGAGCCCGCATTGGTGTAGAGCCTCGGGGAACCTGGTTTTAATCTTCGAATCGAGTTATGACCCAAAAACGGTCCCCAAATAGAACCGCTGTCGCTCACAATCTGGACTCAAACGATTCAGTGCAGCTACAGCGACTCCAGTCACACCAGTGGATTTGCCAGCCATGGGCCAGACACGCTGTCATGGGCCAGGCGGCCTGCCAGCGTTTTGTAGTTAGGTTCCGCGCTGCGGGCTTCACAGGAGACATGTGGGCAGATTGGATGGGGTTCAGCTCCGGATGGGGGCACAAGGCATGTGATCCTCGCGTGTCCTTGGGATGGGTAAATCTCACGTCTGGAGTCGTCACTTCCGCGGTCCGAACTAAATGTCCGACCGTCGGTCCTTTCTTCGTGCCCCGTGTTTCTCTGGACGGTGCTGCGACTGAGGGTGGGCGGCGCCACGCGTGCTTTGTGGAGCGGGCATTTGTCTGGAGCGCGGTATGCAGCTGCAAGCCCCAGCCTGGGCAATTGTAGCCCTCACCCGGCATGCAGTTGCAGCCGCGCCAGGCTTTGCTGCTCGGTGCTTGCAACCGAGCAGCCGACAGAGTCACCATTATATGTCTGTCGCGCGCAGCGTTTTAATGGCGGAGAGGTAGGAGGGTGGCGGGAGGGCGATCTTTCCTGCCACGAGGGCGCCATGCCAAAAATCTCGGGCTTTCCAGAGCCAGAACCACATGATGTTTGACGTGGCGCCTCCCCGAGGCAACGTGGGCGCCACGTCAAACATCTCGGGGCTACCAAAACCAAAACCTTAGGATGTTTGTGACGTGGCGCTCCCCCGAGCCCACTGGGGCGCCGTGCCAAAAATCTTTGGGCCCCCAAGCCCTAACATTCAGGATTTTTGACGCGGCGCCCCCCCCAGCCCACGGGGGCGCCGAGTCGAAAATCGTGGAGCTCCCAGGTCCACAAAGCCATAGGATTTGTCACGTGGCGACATCCCGAGCTCACTGGGGCGCCGTGGCCAAAATCTTCGGGCTACCAAAGCCCAAACCCCAGGATCTTCAACGCGGCGGCCCTCCGAGCCAACGGGGGCGCCGTGCCAAAGATCTTTGGGCCTCCACGGCCCAACATTCAGGATTTTTGACGCGGCGCCCCCCCCAAGCCCACGGGGGCGCCGAGTCGAAAATCGTGGAGCTCCCAAGACCAAAACCCTACGCCGATAGATACTTGGGTCGTTCCCCTGTTTAACCCTGCCGCCCTCGGCTTGCTGCTTCGGTGCGATGTGTGCTTTCGGGCAGCGGTTGGGCATGGTTGGGCCTCCGGGTTGGCCAGGAGGCCCACCGGCGATGGAAATCCCAATCGGCGTTAGGAGGAGGAAAGGATCTTGCTGGAAAGGACCCTGAGGGGTTTCACCGTTTGCAGTTTCTCGGGGCCTTCCTGGGCCCGGGACTGTCAAAACACGACTCGGGATGGCAAGGCAGGTTTGGGGCAGGTCCCGAAGTACAGGACCTTTTATTCCTTCATGACCCCTTTTCCTTGAAGCGAGTGCGCAGCTCCGACCAACATTTTGGATTTTGCGGACGGTCTTTTCCTTGTCGCCCGCAACCGCAAGCAAGGGCCTCCGAGCCGGCGGCTCAGTCACACTTAGGGCGTCAGGAGCCTCCAGTCATGATCTCCCGACGAGTTCCCGTCAGAGCACCTAGAAGGACGAGGAGGGGGGGTGAGGAGGGGTTGGGGGAGCAGGCGGAGAAGCAGGGTCGGGAGGAGCAGAAGGGCGTGAGGATGCGCAGGGTGCGGAGAAAGCGGGGAACATTCAGGCCATGAGAATCGGGCCGGGCGAAGGGGGGGGATTGGGAAAGGGGGGGCTACGAAATTTGCTGCATGCGGCTGGTTTCGGCTTCACCGAGGGGCCCATTCCTCGATACATAGCCGCCTCCGGCGCCGGGAGGCTCCGGGAAAATCAGCTGCGCGAGCTGATTCTCAAACCCCCCTTTTGCTATCCCCCCCTTTCGCCCGACCCGAGAGAAGGAGAGGGCAAGGATGCCGCGGGAGCGTGCGGAGCAGGAGCGGGGCAAGGAGAGAGAAGGAGGAGAGGGGGCGGACGACGGGGAGGAGGCGCAGAACGAGGAGCTCCTCCTCCTCCTCCTCCTCCTCCTCCTCCTCCTCCTCAGACGACGGGGAGGACGACGAGGTGGACGGCCAGGAGGGGGCCAGGAGCACCCGCGGAGCGAGGCGACGACCGCGAGCGGCGGCGGCGACGGCGATCGGCGTCTGCTTCCAATCGGTACCCAGGCCGCTCCGCTGGCCATCGACGGACCATCGAGGAGCATTTTTTTCCTTTCGGCGAGGACCATCGAGGAGCATCCTCGATCATTTCGAGGAAGAACCGCGCACGAAACCGAAAAAAACACACCCGCTGGCCAGTCCTGGCCAGTTCCATCCCGGATCGAGTTCTGGCGCTCCCGGGGGCCCGAAGGAGCCCCCTGGGCCGAAGGTGCAGCACCGAATCCTGGAGCCCCGACGACGGCGGCGACCATAGCACAGCTCATGCTGCGCTGCCGCACGCGGCAGTCCTCGAGCACGTTCGTGTCAGCTCCGTGGTGGGCATCGCCCGCCGAAGCAACAGACGCCCAGACATTCGACGTCGTGGTTTTTCCCAACGCGGCTCCCCAGAGGTCTTGACCCCTTTCGTCCCCGAGGGCCGTTGATCGGAGCGGCCAAGAAGGGGGTGATGACTTGGGGGGGATACCATGGCCACGGCAATGAGATCTCCCCGGATGTCATGGCCCGCTCTTCTTCTTGTTCTTCTGAGTATTATTAGTATGTTTCTTCTTTTCCATGTTGTATCATTATTTTGTTAAGCTAGCGTTTTGTTGTAATGAATATGATTCTGATTGATGCTATACTTAGACTTATTGGTATCACTAGTACTGCTGGTATAATGAGTATTGTTCGTATCATTATGATGACTAGAACTAATGTTATTACATCATTAATATCAGCATTATTATTATTCGTATTCATAGTACTGCTGTTTGTTATTAATCAGAGTGAGGGGGGCCGAACGGTCATTCACTTGTCCCTGGGTGCGTGGCTGAAGTGGAATTCCGCGGCGCGGATTCTCGTTGTTGTTGTTTGTTGCTGTTTGTTGTTGTTTGTTGTTGTTTGTTGTTGTTTGTTGTTGTCGTCGTCCCACCCGCAACCCGCCCCGCGCCCCACCCGCGTTCCAACCCGCGAACCACCCCGCGACCCGCCCGCGACCCACCCGCGTCCCACCCGCGACCCCACCCGCGACCCAACCCGCGACCCACCCCGCGACCCACCCCGCGACCCACCCCGCGACCCACCCGCGACCCGCCCGCGGCCCACCCCGTGACCCACCCGCGACCCACCCGCGACCCACCCGCGACCCACCCGCGACCCACCCGCGACCTACCCCGCGGCCCACCCGCGACCCACCTTCGACCCAAACCACGTTCAAGGTACAAACCACCATTTTCGGCGCCTGCGGCGGTCTTTCTTTGCATTCCTTCCAGGTGGAGAGCCCGCGACCCACCCCGTGACCAACTCGCGACCAAACCGCGACCCAAACCACGTTCAGGGTACAAACTACATTTATCGGCGCCTGCGGCGGGCATCTTTTGCATTCGTTTCAGGTGGAGAGCCCGCGGCCCACCCGCGACCATTTTCAGGGTACAAACCATATTTTTCGGCGCCTGCGGCGGGCATCTTCTGCATTCGACCCAAACCACGTTCAGTGTACAAACCAATGTTTTTGGCGCCTGCGGCGGGCTGCTTTTGCATTCGTTCCAGGTGGAGGTGGAGAGCCCGCGACCCACCCGCGACCTAAACCACTTTCATTGAACAAACCAATGCTGCACAAGCGCGGCGGCGGATTTTTGCATGCCGTCTGAGCCCGCAAGGACCTCTTCAAGCCCCGCGCATCCGCACCAGCTCGTCCAGCAACTTTGCCCTGGCGAGTTGCCTTGATCAGAGAAGGCGGGGAGCATAAAGTGGACAAAAGGATTGCGTTGCAGTTATCTTGGGAAAGGAGGGGGAGGCAGGAGGAGTAAACAGGGGACGACGATAACGCGGAAGAAAGGAGGATGTACGGAGAATGTAGAGAAAGAGTAGGAGGAGCAGGAGGACGAGGAGGGGGAGGAGGGGGAGGAGGGGGAGGAGGAGGACGAGGAGGGGGAGGAGGGGGAGGATGATGATGATGGACGACAATTGGAGGACGATGATGGAGGCCGATGAGGGGGAGGACGACAATGGGAGGACGATGATGAAAGGAGAGGATGACGAGGAAAAGGAGGGAGGAGGAGGAGGAGGAGGAGGAGGAGGAGGAGAGCGCCATCGACAGGGAAGGTGGGGGCCACGAGGTCCGCCGGCTCGACGACGCCCGCGTCGCCCGCGCCCGCCCCCTCACTCTTATCCGCAATTGCGGGGTGCTACGTATTTCCGATTCGCACTCGACAAACCACGCAGCACTGCCAACCGCGCGCGCTCCTGCCCACGCGGCCTTGCTTGGCTGTGTGGCAGTGGTGGTCTCCTCCTTCTTCTTCTTCCTCTTCTTCTTCTTCTTATTATTATTATTATCATTATCATTATCATTATCATTCTTCTTCTTCTTCTTCGTCTTCGTCTGACGTGCCCCCTGCCCGGTCTCCCCCCCACTCGTCCGCACAGGTGCCTCGGGCCACGACCTGCGACCCCCCCCCCCCCCTCGCGCGCACCCCCTCCCTGGACCCCGCCGCGGCGAGGGCCCCGGGAGGCCGAGAGCGGCAGCGCACCTCCAGGGGACGTCTGCCGGCACGGCGCGAGGATTCCCTCCCTCTCCTCCTCCTCCTCCTCCTCCTCCTCCTCCTCCTCCCCCTCCTCCCCCTCCCCCCTCCTCCCCCCCCCTCCTCCCCCTCCTCCTTCCCCTCCTCCCCCCTCCCTCCTCCTCCTCCCCTCCTCCTCCTCCTCCTCCTCCTCCCTCCTCCTCCCCCTCCTCCTCCCCCCTCCCCTCCTCCTCCTCCTCCTCCTCTCCTCCTCCTCCTCCTCCCCTCCTCCTCCCCCTCCTCCTCCTCGAGACCCCGTCTGCATGCCCGGTCTTCGGGCCATCCCTCCTCCAGGACTCCCAGATGTCGGGGGCGGAAAAGGGGGGTGAGGACTAGGTATCATGGCGGGGGGCATGATATTTCCCCAGATTTCATGGCGCCTTTCTTATTTCATTACGTCCCTGGCCCCCCCGCTGGGCCGCGCACATGCCGCCGGTCATGATTTGCACCCCCCCGTCTTGGAACCCCCCCTCTTGGCCGCTCCCGAAGATGGGGTCCGAGTAGACAGGGTCGGAGGAGGATGGCGCCGCATCGCCGAGGCATCGGCCACAGCGGCTCGAAGCGGACCTGGTGTTCTCCACGCGGACGTCGCCGATGCAACGCCGATGCATCGTCCATGCATCGGCGATGCGGCGCGATTCTCCGACACCACCTACTCGGACCCCATCGGGGAGACCTCTCAACTCGGGCCTTCGGCGGCCGATCGGCGAGGCGCGGCTGCTGGAAAGCACCCCGAGGCCGGAGAACCGTCGTGAGCCGACGAGAACGTCCGAAAGCCTGCACCCGACCAGGGTTCCTTCACGACCCCTTGCCGCCATTGCTCTGGCAGGACAACCACACGGGAGCTCACGGCGAGCCGCCCTCGCCCCCCCCCCCCCCCGCTGGAGGCTTCCTCGCCGCCAGAGTCGCTGTTCCGCAGCGGCGCCAACGCGGGTCCGCGACCCCCCCCCCCGCGGGGAGGCGGATGGGGAGGGCCGGCCGGCGGCGCGCTCGGGGGGAGCTCTCAGATCTGGGCGCTGCGATTGTTTGGCAACGGGCGGGTTTCGCCTGATCTTGGGCCCCCAGCGCCCTCACACATGGACCTGGCTTGAAACATGCTGCCAGGAGGGAAGGTCCAGGGCTCTGGTCGTATCTTGTGCGACTTTCTTCACTGTTTCGCAGTGTGGGATCTGAGGAGAGGGGCCTGTCGGCGGCGCGCCCAGGAGGCAAGGCAGAGGTGGCGGGCCTTCTCAGAGGGCTCAGCAGGGGAGGGGGAGGAGGAGGAGGAGGAGGAGGAGGAGGAGGAGGAGGAGGAGGAGGACCAGGTTGACCCCTGGAGGCGCCAGCGGTGCTGCAGTGCGCCCCGGAGTCGTGGCGGGGAGTCTGGGGCGCCCCCCCCCCCCGAGGCCACGAGGAGGGCCTCTTCGCAGAAGGCCCGAGCGCTTCGCAGAAGCCCCGCCGCCCTCCGAGCAGGCCTCCTGCCCCTCTCGCCTCCTCCCCCCCCCCCCTCGGCGCGCCGCCGAGCCCGTCGAGGCACCGGCGGCCCCCTGGCTGCGTCCCGCCGCCGCGGCTGGGCCCGCCACGCAGTAGACGGGGTCCGGGTGGGGGCCTCGTAGAGAGGGCCCCGGAGTCCAGAGGAGTTGGGGAGAAGGAACGAGTAGGGAGAAGGAGCGAGTAGGGAGGGGGGGGAAGAGGAAAAATCAGCCATGAAGGCGACCTCAGCCTCGTCCAGCCCGTCCTCGTGCCTGACCTGCCCCCCCATCCCTCCTCCCCCCCCCGCCCCTCTTTCCTTCCCTTCCCCCTCCCCCTCTCTCCCGCTGACGCTACCTCCCCCCCTCTTCTCGCTTCACCTCCACGTCCTCCGCCTCCGCCTCGTCCCTCCGTAGATACTGAGTACTGCGTCCCCCTCTCTCCGGAGACTGTTCGAGCGAAGCGCCACCTCTCCCGCATGGTGCACACGTATGTTTTTTTTCCGGTGTGTGTTCATACCGGAATTCCGCATTTCTATGTCCGACGTTTCTTTCTTCACATCGTATTCGTTGCTTCTGGAAAGGTGTGCTTCCGCCGCAGCGCTGGCCTCATGCCAGGCACCGCGCTCTGTTCCCGCCGTTCCGAGTGGCTCTCGCCGGAGCGCGGGCAACAGTTTTGGGTCCGATTCCTTCCTAGTCGCTGTCCCCCTTCCGTTCCCCTCCCCGGCCTTCCGAGGGTGGTCCTTTTGCCCCTCCCGCTCCTTCTATTATTGCTCCTTCTACGGCTATTCGTGTTTCATCAGATGCATGCTCATCCAGTACCTCCTTCGTCTTAGCATCCAGTGTGCACGGCTCACCTATCTGATTGCTCATTACACGATGGGCCATTTGGGGATCCATGCCAGCTAGTAGGATGTCAGACACTGCGCGCGTGCTTGTACCTACCTTGTCTCCCCCCATCTCATCCCTCCCCTCCTCCGCCGAGAGTGCTAGCGCGTGGCAAAGCGAATGGTCGAAACAGGACCTCGCAGAGATTTTCAGTAAGTGGCAGCAGCTGTCCAAGATAGGCGACCGAAGCAGGTCAGAACTCCATGAGCTGGATCTGAATTCTGAATCCCCCGCCTCTACGGTAGGTTCGCGTCGTGTCGACTGGCGGCGGCCCAGAATCGGTCGATGTTGAACGATCGGACGTTTCGGAAACGGCCGATCGTTCAAGGTTGAGCAATCCCCGCGGTGTCAGGAACCAACGCCCGGGTCGCCACGACACGAACCTGCCCTATCTTGCATCCCCCCATTTTGGCAAGGCCTCGGGTTGCGCACAGACAGCCCCCCAGGCAGTCCCAGCAGCTGGGGGCGGCGCCAGTCTCAGCACCCCCGCCCCCGGGGCGCGCGGAGCTCCAGGGTGTGCCACCGGAGGCGGTGCCAGGGTGCTGAGTCCGCCGCAGGCTGCTCGGGAGGCCTGTTGAGGCCAGCTGGCGCTCGGGAAAGCGCGGGCGCGGGACGCGTTCGCAGGCCTCTACTCCGAGTTCGACGACGCTGGGGTCCCCACGAAGCTGGCGGACGGCAGCGAGGCGGGCGCGCGGCGCGGGCGGCTCGGGGCGGCGGAGGGATCGACCCTGACGTCCGGACCCTGCAGCTTTGTCACATCGAAGGCTCAGCCTCGCTTCCCCCGACCTCCCATGGAAGGGCTGAGAAACACCACCAGGGTCTTTGAGTTCGATTCCTGCTCGACCAGCGGGCAACACACGTACACCGATCCTGGCCAGGCCGGTATTCCCTGAGATCCGTGCATCGCAATTGTTGTCCACCGAAGGCTGTCGCCGAGTCTTGGGCCTAGGGGCCTTCGCAGAGCGATCTGTCGCGGTTTGCGGTCCAGAGCTCCTGTTCATGTCGTGATGTCTCGCGCGGCTGCGCTCTTGCTCGCGGCGTTGCTTCTCGGGGTCGCGCGGCTCGGCCGGTGGCTGGGGCCCCCGCAGGGCGGCGGCGCAAGACGCGTCCCCGCCCGCTGGGGGCTGCTAGTACTGCTGGTCCCGTGACGCGTCCGCCGGCGGGCCTCCAGAGGCCGCGGTGCCCCGAGCCCAGAGGTCCCTTGGGCTGGTGTAGCGGATCCCGAGATCATGGCGTTCCATGTTTCCGAACCCTCCTGCGGTGCTGGGTCTTCGTTTTGGAGATACAGCGCCCCGCGTTCCTCTCTTCTCCTCCACTCTTCGTCCGCCTCCTCCCTCCTATCATCCCTGCCTCCGCTCTTGGCACACCCCTCACACGCTTCGGGGCACAATAGGGAGCTCCACCGAAGGTCCCACGCCCGCCGCCCGCATGCGCCCGACCCACCTATTTCGGCACACCCCTCACGAGAATCGCGGCCCCATAGGGAGCTCCACCGACGGTCACAAGGGTGCCGCCCGCAGGCGTCCGACAGACCTATTTCGGCACACCCCTCACGAGGATTACGGCCCCAGAGGGAGCTCCACCGAAGGTCCCAAGGGCCGCCCGCATGCAACCGACCCACCCATTTCGACACACCACTCACCAGGACGCGGCCCCATGGGGAGCTCCACCGACGGTCACAGGGGTGCCGCCCGCAGGCGTCTGACTAGCTCATTTCGGCGCACCCCTCACGAGGATTACGGCCCCATGGGGAGCTCCACCGAAAGTCGCAGGGGCGCTACCCACATGCGCCCGACGCACCCATTTCGGCACACGCCTCACGAGGATCGCGGCCCCATAGGGAGCTCCACCGAAGGTCCCAAGGGGCGCCGCCCGCATTCGTCCGACCCACCCATGTCTGCACCCCCCTCACGCGGATCGTGGCCCCATAGGGAGTTCCACCGACGGTCACAGGGGCGCCGCCCGCAGGCGTCCGGCCACCCTATTTCGGCACGCCTCACGAGGACAGTGGCCCGGTAGGGAGCTCCACCGAAGGTTCCGAGGGCCGCCCGCATGCATCCGACCCACCCATGTCGGCACACCCCTCACACGTTTCGCGGCCCCATAGGGAACTCCACCGCACGCGCCACCCCCGCCCATTTCGGCGCGCCCCTCGCAAGCTTCGTGGCCGCATATGGAGCTCCACCGAAAGTCACAGCGGCCGTCATTGCATGCGCCTCCCCCACAGCCCACATGTGGTACCCGCCCCATGTCGCACACCCCTCGCGCGGTTCGCCCGTCTCACGCGTTTCGCGGCCACATAGGGAGTTCCCCCTCGATCGTCCCGTCTGCCCTGCAGTACTCACAACTGCATCTGGTTGGGTCCTTCGCCAAGACAACTTTCACAACGGGCGCTTCCGCCCTGCTTCGAGCCCCAGCGCCCATACAGACCGATCCGGCTTCAAAAGTAGCAGAGCAAGACGGGGTCTAGGGCTCCAGCCGTGATTCTTCTGTCTGCTTTTTGCCGCAGCGTCAGGGTGAGGCGAGGGCCTACCCCAGTAGCGCGCGCCCCGTCCAGGCCCTGCGAAACTCCAACCCGAAGCGGCCCGAATTCCAGGCCCCCGTCCGAGTCCGACTCCAACCCGAAGCGGCCCGACTCCATACCTGTTCCGCTCCGATCCGACTTTGGATTCGATGCTGACTGATCTTGCCTTCTCTTCCTCTCCTCTTTTCGAAATCGTGAAACGAGGAGGAGGAAGGTTTTCGATGTTTTTAGGCGTCTCTGGGAAGGATTCAGATTAGGTAATGGTTTAGCGTTTTTCGACGAATTTTATCTAGGATCGAGATGGTTTTTGAGGTTTTTGGGAGCCTTTTGGGGGGCTCCTGAGGGCCCCTGGGCGGTCCACGGGGGCCCGCTTCCTGGACGCAGGAGGTGGCGACCCCCTCGGCAGTGACCAGCCTTGGCCCCCCTGGCATTGCAGGGGGGGGCAGGGAGGAGGCATCTCCCCCCTTTCCCCTCCGACGCCTGCTGCGAGAGCAGTCCTGGACGGAGGAGGATGCGGGCGTGAGGCACCTGCCTCGTGTGGCCGCCTTTCATGGATTGACAGACGGCCGGCTGAGGCAAGGCGCTCCCAGGTTGACTCTACAGCCTCGGGCCAGCTTTCTCCCAAGGCCGAACACCTTGCCAACGCCACGAGAAGATGTGGGCTTGCACCACACTGTTTGCGCCACACAGCTTCCACCACATAGTTTGCACCACGTAGATTTCACCATATGGCTTGCGATGATGTGGACTTGCAACGCGCAGATTGCATTATTTTCATTCCACCACGTATTGCACATTGTGAGTACGCCACAGGCGAAACCACACCGGAACCAGACCAAACCGAGCACATTGTGAGGACGTCTCAGGCGAAGCCGCGCCGACACCACGCGAAACCAGGCAAGTCGTGAGGACGTCTCAAGCGAAACCGTGCCGACACCAGTCCAAACACCAAGCAGCTTTTGAAGACGTTTGAAACGAAACCAGCTCAAAGCCAGGCCAAAACACGGGCCAAACAAGGCAAATTCTGTCCAAGGAATGTCTCAAGCGAAGCGCCACAAACCAGGCTCCATTCAATGACACTGGTAAAATAGATGTTAAGGAGTGGACGATCCAAGGGCCCCTCCCCCGCAAGGGGGTCCTGTAAATGCGGCTGGGGTTCAACAACATGTACGTGCCAAGGGCGCAAAAGCATGCATTTGTCATGCGAGCGTTCTCGGGGCAAATGGATCACGTTAGGAGAAATATTCCCGAGGCTGTAGCAGCAGAAACTCCCACCGTCTTCTCTGCCCCCCCTACTCCTCCTCTTCTGTCGCTGGTACCACTGACCTGGGCAGTCCAAAAAGTCCCAGCACGTCAGGTGCGCACACCCGCACTGCACGGTCTCAGATAGGTGGACGCTTGCGAGCCATTTGCTCGAAATTAGGTACGCTCCCCGCGCAATCCTGCTGCAGTGCAAACAAGTCTCCCCTCCCTCCTGCCATCCTGTGGCAGCCCTGTGATTGCGACGCCGCTCGCTCTGCAAACAGCGTGTGAGCCTCGCCCTCGCGCGTTCCATTTAAGTCAAAGGCAGCACCCGCTTGGGACACGCTGCGTGACCCCTGAGTCCCAGAGCCCACCCCCCCTTCTCCCGCAGGCCAAGAGAGCACCGAGCCCCCCCCCCTCTCCCCCCCACCGCCTCGGCCGCCCCCCCCGGGCGGCGCGGCGCGCCGCGCGCGAGGGCGCCCCGCGGCCGGCCCTTCCCCGCTCGATGGGCCAGGCGTGCTGCACGCTGGACGAGGACCTCGGGGCCCGAGCGGGGCCCAGATCTCGTACCCTCTTCCCCCATTGGGGCCCTCCTCCTCCTCCATGTTCTCCATCCACTCCTCCTGCTCTTCCTCCTCCTCCTCCCCATTCCTCCTGGTCATCCCCTCTCTTGTCCTCTTCCTGCTCCTCATCCCTTTTCTCCTCATCCTCCCCTTCCGCCTCCATCTCCTCCTCCTCCTCATCCTCCTCCTCCGCCTCCTCCTCGTCCTATTCCTCCTCCTTATCCTTCTCCTTCTCCTCCTCTTTCTTCTTCCTCCTACTCCTCCTCCTCCTCCTCTTTCTCCTCCCTCTCATCATTCTCCTCCCTGTCGTCATCCCCCCTTTGCCTCTTCATCCTCCTCCTCCTCCTCGTCCTCTTCCTCCTTCTCCCGTTCCTCCTCCTCCTCCTCCTCCTCCTCCTCCTCCTCCTCCTCTTCCTCCTCATCCTCCTCGTTCTCCTCCTCGTCCTCCGCCTCCTGCTCCTATTCCTTCTCCTCCGCCTGCTCCTCATCCTCCTCCGCATTCTCCTCCTCCTCCTCCTCCTCGTCCTGCTCATTTCCCCTTCCCCTCATCCTCCTTATCCTCCGTTTGCCCCCCTCCCCCGCTCGGCTCGCCACAGGAGTCCGCGGGCGCGCTGGAGGCCGGGGGGCGCATCGCCATCGTCGTCGTCGCGGGTCGTCTCTCGTCGTCGTAGTCGTCGTCCTTCGTCGTAGATCGTCGTCGTGTCTCGTCGTCCCTTTTGTCGTCGTCGTCGCTTATCGTTCTTTTCCTCGCAGATCATTGCCAGCGAAGGAGGAGGAGGAGGAGGAGGAGGAGGAGGAGGAGGAGGAGGAGGAGGAGGGACAGGAGAAGGAGGAGGAGGAGCAGGAGGAGGAGGAGGAGGAGGAGGAGGAGGAGGAGCGGAATATGGATGGGGGAGGGGACGGGGGAGTGGGTGGGGGAGGCGGATGGGATGGGGGTGAGGAGGAGGAGGAGGAGGAGGAGGAGGAGGAGGAGGAGGAGGAGGAGAGGAGGAGGAGGAAGGGGAAGGGGAAGGGGAAGGGGACGAGTGGGAGGGAGACGGGGGGTTGGGAGGGGAGGAGGGGAGGGGGTCCGGGAGGAGGGAAGATGGAGGGCGAAGGGATGTGGGAGGAGAGGGTCGACGGAGAAGGGAGTAGTAGGGGAGAAAGGAGGTGGAGGGGAGAGAAGGGCAGAGACCAGGGAGGAGGCAGGGTGGGGGGCAGGAGGGGCATGAGTGGGATGAAGAGGAGGGTGGCCTCCCTCTCCCCTCATTCCCTCCCCCCTCCTCGTCCTTCCGCCCTTTTTCCTCCTCCGTACTCCCGCTTTCGCTCTCCCTCCTCGCCCCCCCCACACCCTCCCAGAGGGCCAAAAACCTTCAGACCATTCAGGCCCGACCTCCAACCTGGAGGCGCTTTACTGCATGCTGAACCGTTTCTGGCCCTCCAACGGAGATTCGATCTCGCTCCTCTTGCCCTCCTCCTGGGGCCAGCGAGGTGAACAAGCTGCCCGCCGCCGACGAGAGGCTGGACTCCCTGGAGGACTGCCTCGTCGCCGCCGTGGGCTGCGCCGGCCCCACCTGCACCAGCTACTTCGATCGCGAGGCGTCGGCGGAGGCAAACGGAGCGGATAGCAGGGCTCGAGCTGAGCGGCGTTTCGACGAGTTCGTGGACCGTTTTCGTTTTGGTTCCGTTTCGCAGCAGAGGCAGAACGAGGACAGAGCGAGGGAAAGCGAAGGCAAGATTGAAACGGAAAACGTTGCTTCGGCTCGAGCCCTGGCGGATAGCTCAGGGGGGGGGGGGGGAATTACGGTCGGGAGCGTCTCCTCAGCGTATCGCGCCGCTGGTTCTGGCCCATCACGCTGCGGCCCGACGCGCTGAGCACGTGCTCGTCCCCGAGCATCAGCGCCCCGGGCTTTTCCCAGCCGACTCCGCCCCCCGAGGCAGAGCGGCACGCCAACCGAGTGCGAGGCATGGCGCGTCGCAGGGGCCGTCGCCGCGACACGGCAGGCAGAAGCTCATAGCCCGTAGCCCACGGGGGGAGTTTGCGTGTACCCAGGGGCGCCGATCTCAAGGAAACGCGGACATCGACGAGGCGCGCGGAGTGGCGACGGGTCCCGTTTCTGTGTGACAACGGCGCGCTCCGTCGCCAAGTCAGGCGGCATTGTCGCCGCCGTCCTGGGTGTGCCTCCCCCGATCCATGGATCCGGCCACGCGCCAGACCCACGGATCCGTAATCCATGTTAGCGTGTGTCCAACCATGCCGCCCATGATTTCCGCGAGGCTGCCCCCGAGCACGCGTAGTGTCCGCTTTGTCGTTGCCCAGTGGATTTCGGGTGTCAGCTCGGCTCTCCACAGGTCGTTCGGGACGGTCTGGGCACCCTCTGAACGCTGTCGGAGTGGGCGCAGGTGCTGGCACGCATCCCGAGGCTGCAAATCCGCCGAGAACCAACCCCAGACATGCGACGCCCTGATTTTTTTCAATTCGGGGTCCCTGGAAGTCCCGACCATGTCCCCGGGGCCTGTTTTTCATCCTGAGTCGTTTCGTGACGGTCCCGAGGCCCGGCGAGGGCCCCCCGAGGCCGAAATTGACCCAACACCTCCCGCCCTGATTGTTCTACGACGCGAGCATGTCTGAGACGATCACATCCGAAAGCCTCGAGACTCGGATCCGAAGCTCGGCGCGGCGAGCCTGGGAGGGAACAAGTTGGAGGGGCTGGGCCTTCTCCCAGACGGCGGCGGGGGGCGGGGCTGCCCGGCAGTCCTCCGTCCGTCTGGGAAGCTGCCGCTGTCTTTGGAGAAGGCTCGGAAAGCTTCTCAGAAGGCCGGAGCGGTTCTGACCCAGACATGATCGCGCCGTTCAGAAATCAGGACGACTGATTTTCGGCCTCGGGGGGCCCTCGCCGGGCCTCGGGACCGTCAAGAAACGACGCAGGAGGAAAACCCGGCCCCGGGGAAAGGGTCGGCATGTCCAGGGAGAAGCCCCGTGGCCCTCTGACAAGGCCTGCCCCCTCCCGCTTCCCCCCCCGGGGCTCGCCGCCGAGACACTTCCCCCCGCAACCTGGCATCGCTCGGACGTGTGCACGCCCTCCGGCGAGGCCAGCGCCACAGCATCTGGACCATCTGGGAGCATCTGCTGGATCCGCCTGCGACAACCGAACCCCCACGCACGACCTCGGGGAATCCACGGGGAGTGGTCTGCCCGAGCAGTGGCCAGGCAGCGACGGGCCCCTGCGCTGTCCGCCCAGACATGCGACGCCCTGCTTTTTCCAACACGGGGCCCCCGGAAATCCCGACCCTTTCCCCGGGGTTCGGTTTCTCGTCCTGCGTCGTTTCTTGCTGGCCCCGAGGCCCGGCGAGGGCCTCCCGAGGCCGAAATTGGCCAAAAACCTCCCGCCCTGATCTGTTGTTTGACGACGCGTGCATGTCTGGGACTCTTCGCCCCTCCCGCCTCGGTGTCTGCCGAGCCAGGCGGCCGAGCTCCCCCAGCTGCCCGCGGCGCAGGGCCCCCGCGGTGCGCACCGCTTCGCCACCGGCGCCACGTAGCCCGGCCGCGCTGCCGCGCGGAGCCGCCGTACACTGCGAACGCGCGCTGCCACGCGCAGCGAACTGAACAGCGGGACCCAGGCCTCTAGCGTTAAGTCGGGCATGTCCCTCTGCAGGAGGAGCAATCCGAAATAGTGAGAAAATAATAGTTCTGGGGACGATTGGTTCACCATTTTTGCATACTTTGGGTTATTGTTTCAGTCACTTTCGTCCCAAATTTGCCTGCAGGAGGACACGCCCGACCTAACTCTAGCCTCTAGCGCCGTCTGGCTTTGTCAGTCCGGCAGTTCTTCCTCGAAGGCGGCCTCTGGGTCGGGGGAGAAAGAGATACGGATGCGTGTTGTACCCCTCCGTCTTCGGCCTCTCCTGGTCCTCCTGGGGAATCCTCGTTGTCACCGCTGCAGTCGCCTCGACATTCTGGTCCGAACGCACCCCAAGAGAGGTCCGGGGACAACACGTACCCGTATCTCTCCGCCCCCCCAACATGGGGCGCGACGCCCGGCCCGGGGGCCCTCAAAGCCTGACCGCAGGAGGAAAATCACCACCCACCAAACCACCCCAACCCAACCCGAAGGCCCCAAGTTATCCTCGATTTCCAGTGGGGGGGGGGGGTCGTGGAACACCGAGAAAACACGTATGGAACCCGTACCCCCCCCCAACCCGAAATTCGGGTCTTCGGGTTGGGTTGGGGTGGTCTGGTAGGTATAGTCAGAAAAACGGCCTCCGGGGATAAGGGGTCCGGACCTCTGGGGTCGCGAGCGTCGGATGCCTGGGAGCGCGGGCCACCCAGACCCCCTCGAGCAATGAGAAAATCATGGCGGGAGGTGTTTCGCAAGTTTCGGCCTCTGGGGGCCCTCGCCGGGCCTCGGGAGCGTCAACAAAACGACTCAGGATGCAAAGCCGGTCATGGGGAAAGGGTCGGGACCTCTGGGGGTCGACGCAGTGAACAAAATCATTACGTCGGGGGTTCTGGGAAGGGTGGGGCCCGACCCCCCCCCACACATACCCGGAGATCGGGGCGTTTCAGTTCTTGTCCAGCCGGGCGTGGTGGCGCGGTTTCGGACCCCCGGGGCCATCGCAGATCGATCCAGCTTGGAACGTGGCGCGGAAACACGGGGTACAGTTTCTCAATGCTGCAATGTTTTGCGACGTCGGATCTCTGGGGGTCCCGACACATGCACACACACACACACACGCACACACACGCACACACGCACATGTACTATGTGTTCTTGGCAGTTGCGTGCTGTGCGACACAGCGGTTAGAGTGTGCCCATAGCCAGTGCGAGCGCGTGCGAAAGCAAACACACACACACACACATCTCTCTATATATATCCGCCGGTCCCCTTGTGGGGCCACCAGGCTGTAAGGCGAAGGTTCGCAGTTTCCTGTGCCAGTTGCAGCTTCCAGTTTCCACTGTTACAGTTCTGCTTCTTGCTGCTTACTGTTCCTTGTTGATGGACCGCGCGAGGAGGGGGAAGCCCAAACGGGCAGCTTTAGCACGCCCTGAGCGTGTGCTCCTGAATTGCTGGGGTGGGTAAAAATTGTCACCCCTCACGCAGATCGGCGGGGTCAGGGTCCAAAGACACAAGGGAGTTGCCACATTTCTCAAATTCGCTGGCACCCCTCACGCAGATCGGCGGGGTCAGGGTCCAAAAACACATGGGATTTGCCACATATCTGAAGTTTGGCGGCACCCCTCATGCGGATCGGCGGGGTCAGGGTCCAAAAACACAAGGGGTTTGTCACATGTCTGACATTCGGTGGCACCCCTCACGCAGATCGGCGGGGTCAGGGTGTACAAACACAAGGGGTTTGCCACATTTGTGAAATTTGGCGGCACCCCTCACGCAGATCGGCGGGGTCAGGGTCCAAAAACTAACGGGATTGCGACATTTTTGAAATTCGGTGGCACCACTCATGCAGATCTGCGGGGTCAGGGTCCAAAAACATATCGGATTTGCAACATTTCTGAAATTCGGCGGCACCCCTCACGCAGATCGGCGGGGACAGGGTTCAAAAACACAAGGGATTTACCACATTTCTAAAATTCGGCGGCACCCCTCACGCGGATCGACAGGGTCAGGGTCCAAAAACACAAGGGATTTGCTACATTTCTGAAATTCGGCGGCACCCCTCACGCAGATCGGCGTGGACATGGTTCGAAAACACAGGGGATTTGTTACATTTCTGAAATTCGGCGGCACCCCTCATGCAGATCCGTAGGGTCAGGGTCGAAAAACAAACAGGTCCCGACACTGCTTCACGGCGGCGCCCAGACCTCATGATTTAGTTCTTGCATCTCCCATTAGCCGAGACAGGGGACTGGCGACATGGGGCGAAGCCCTTACAGCTACATCTATATATATACACCTATACACATATATATGTATATATGTATATGTATATTCATATATATATATATGTATGCATACATATACACACATACAGATACACAAACAGATACACAGTTGCTTCCCCCTCGATGCGCTGGTCAGGTCCAGCCAGCCGTGCAGTAGTATCGAGCACTTGCCAGTGGCAAGGTATTTGTCCACCCTCCGACACCCACGCACACACGCGTGCACCCAATTCCGACCGCCGCGGCGATCGGTGGCGGATCTTGGGGAGTGGAGAGGCAACGCCAGGCATGGCTTTGGCATCATCGTCTGGCCCGACGGGGCCCGGTACGAGGGCCAGTGGCGGGACAACAGGGCGCACGGCGTCGGGCGCTTCACCCACTGCGACGGCGACTCATACACGGGCGAGTGGCAGTCCAACGTTGCGCACGGCAAGGGCACGTACCACCACAAGGACCTCACCAGCTATCGTGGCGAGTGGGCTTGCGACGTGCAGGAGTGGGAGAGCCCCCTTCTGCGGACCAATGACCAACGCCTCCTCCTCCTCCTCCTCCTCCTCCTCCTCCTCCCCCTCCTCCTCCTCCTCCTCCTCCTCCTCCTCCGATTCCTCCTTCTCCTCCTCCTCCTCCTCCTTCAGCAGGGAGGGGGCCCGCGCTGATGCGTACGGCAGGATCGCGCCGCATCGACGCGGCGGCGACCCCAGACGAGGCGCTCAAGGCTGAACGCCGCCAGTGGCTGAGCATTGACCGATCACCAAAGATCGGCGCAATCGGAAAGCCGCGTTCGTTCGGATTTGAACGGCACATTTGGCATCAGGAACCAGAACGCAAGTCTCCACCGCACGAGTTGTTGTGTCAAGATAAGTGGCCCCTCGAGGAGGGACATGGGGTGGAGACGTGGGCGGAGGGCACCCGCTACGAGGGCCGGTTCCGCAGCGGACAGAAGGAGGGCCACGGCATCTACTTCTGGCCAGACGGCTCCCAGTACCGTGGCGCTCGTGGAGCAAAAGACGGCACAAGCACACGGTCGGGGACTCGTCCTTAGCGTGTCGCTCCGCCGGTTCTGGCCCACCACGCTTCGGCGCGGTGCACCATCCACGTCCTCGTTTCCCAGCGTCCACGTCCCGAGCGTCGTCCAGCCGATTCTGCCCCGCGGAGCGGAGCGACACGCGATCCACTCGCATGGCATGGCGTGTCGCCGAGGCCGCCGCCGCGACGCGCTGAGCAGAAGTTCCCGACTGTATGCACGTTGGGACGTTGGCTCGGATCTCTCGGGTGGCGCCTGGCCGCCTGCTCCACCCCGCTGGCGGCGACTCCAGCTCCGCCCCCCGGCGCGCCCCCGCGCGTGGGGGGAGAGGTCGGGGTGAGGAGAAGCGACGCTTTCACCAGCACCACCAGGGGGGCCACTTCCAGTGAGGAGGTCCACGATGCCTCCCCGAGCTGGGGGTTAATCCAGAAGCCGCATTAAAGTGATCATTTTGCCCCTCTGTGACAGAGGGGGTGCGTTTGGAGGCCCTCTGTGACAGAGGGGGTGCGTTTGGAGGCCCTCTGTGACAGAGTTGCTCGTCATCCCGCGCGAGAGGCGGGGACCACTCCACCAGGGGGACCCCCACGGCTCCTCCCGCCGGTGGCCCCCTTGTGGTGGTGTTGCTCCTCCTTGCTTCTGGAGACGGGTGCAAGAGGACGAGGTCCAGCGCCGACCCGGGAAGCCCGCACGGACCGCCAAGGGCCTCTTGCCTCTCCTGTGCGGAGGACTGCAAAAAAAAACCCTTCTTGAACGAAGGATTGCAAAAACAAACCTTCTCTTGTGCGGAGGTTTTTTTTTGCAATCCCTCTTTTTGCAATACTTTTCGTTTACTTGCAATCCTTCGTCCTGGAGAGATCCGGCGCCGCGAACAGAAATGCAGCATCGCGACAAGCCAAGACTCGAGACCCGAGCCCCAGGTCCGACCTCTCTCTGCGGCAGGGTTCGAGCTGGGGCTCTGGGCGAGAACGACCGGTGCGAAGAACAAATGCAACGCCCGGATCCAAGGGCTTGTCAGGCCGGCCCCTCTTTGGGCTGCGACGACTACGGGGGGGGGGGGGGGGCGATCAATGGGGGGGGGCGCGAGGGCTGCAGAACACGGCCCTTGCAGGGCCCCGAGAGGGGCCCTCTAAGGGCCATAGTGGAGCCTCTTGGGCCCGAGAAGTGTACCTGTCTTGCGCCCAAATTGCTCGCCCCACCACTGAGCGACGCCTCAGCCGTCCCTGCCTGGTCCATTCCCGGACATCCGAAGATCTGATCTTTGCCATCCGCGGCCCCAGAGCTCCCGACCCCAACTCGCTATTTTGGGCCAGTCTCTCGCCCTGCCGTTTTGGGTGGCCCTGGGCTCTGGGGCCCGATACAACTGTGGTTCCCTGAGGCCAAGAGCGGGGACAATGGCCGGGGTTGGTACTCTGCATCTTGGGGGGGCCTTGCGTGTCCTGTGAATGACGGTATTTCCGTCGTGTACTCCGCGACTTCGACGCGGATTCTGCTTGGAGTCGACGCGGTTTCGACGCGGATTTGAAGCGGATTCGACGCGAATCGATCTGATGCGTTCGACACACCATTCGACCCAGATGCGACGCGGATAGTGGCTCGATAGGACAGACAAGGCCCCCCGAACATGCTACACAAGGATTGAACAGATCATACCCTCCCTTGCCAGAACCGCTTCCCTTTTTTAAGAGTATTTGGCCTAGAGGTTGACTCCAACACAAATATCGGTGGTGTGCCTCCACCGAGGGAAGATGATCCCGATCTCGGTCATGGTGGTAATTCTCGGGCTTCCAAGGTGGCCGAAAAATTGCCACTAGCACCAAAGTCTGGGATCAGCTTCCACTGGTTGAGGCAGACTCCAGTGTTGGTGTAGCTGCCAATGTCCACGCACTTTAAGGGTAGCTCTTTGGGAGATGTTACAGTATCGGGAGCATAGCTCGCGCGCCGCTGCCTTGGGCTCAAGGCACGCGCGCCCTATTTGCCCGGACACCGCGAGTGTTCGCTATGTGCTGGAAAGATCATTACATCGATCTTATCCTATCTTACCCATCCACCCCTCATACTGTACCTTCACAGCAGAGCGATGGATGCAATTTGCCAGGCTATATGCCCCATTTGAGTTACCAGGCTCACTTTCGACTTGGTAGCGGAGCTGGCCGCACTCTCGTGTGGTCAGCTCTTGCTCTTCTTAGCCTCATATTCTTCGGCACGATCTTCGTGACCACCTACCACCCTGCGCCACCACTCCCAGTACGTTTACGAGGATCTATTCAAGAGCAAGAGGCAACACGAGAGGTACGACGTCTAGACGACCAAACTGGTACCATATACGCTTCATCATTGCCTTACTACCAACCGCTCGGCAACGAGCTAACAGCGCAATACTTGAAGCAAGGGCGGGGAGACCCGCCAGACAGAGCGCCTCGAAGACTCGACAAGGCGCTACCCCAGCGCGACAACGCGCATCATAACCGTCCTTCGTTACACATTCTCGGGCTCATCGTTTTCGCTATCATATGGTTCGCGCTGGGGGCAGCAATCGGGCACATGCGTCGTGGAGATAACAACACCGATGGGCAAACACATGGCCCATATTGGGACCCTCAAGGTAATGTACCTTTTTGTGAGTACATCGACGAGGTCAACGCATGGCTCAACGTTACATGCGGACGTATGACGCCACAGGCCCAAGCGGCCGCAATACAACGCGGCCTAGGTGGCCTAACGAGGACACCCGCCACGAGGGTACCGCCTGACATTATAAACTATGGTGCTGACATTGATGGGGTCCACACAGACACAGTAACATACATCATGTTCCTCCTCAGCATGAAGTTCGAACGCCTGGAAGATGAGCGACAGCTCACTTCCGGCACACAACTCATCGACTTCCATGTGCCTCACGGGGAACGAATCGATGTCACTCTTACCCGATTCGAAATGGCCCGACTTGAGGCACAGTCGGTGGGATTCGACCTTCCTAACTTCCAACTGCTAACCACTATCCTATTCCGCGCCTTAGGCGTTGGCAACCAGAAAGCCATGCAATTCTTACAGCCACTCAACCACCAAATGCCTCGAACACAACAACAATATGATGAGTTGCTGGAAAGGATGCGTTCGGTAGGCCACCTATCCGAACGATCTCCTGGCAACATAGGATCCGTGTTTGGAAGAGGAAGGGGATCTGGTAGTGGAAATTTCTACACTACCTTGACTACTGAAGCCCAGCCTGGAAACGGGCCCTCAAACATATGGGCCGATGACCCAGGAGAATCCACTGCTTTATTAGCAGGGGATCGATCACAACCAAGCTGGGCAACCAGCCCTCCTTCTAGAGAACCACAACCACACCGCTCGTTATGGGGGGAATCAAATCCCCTAACCGACGGTGTATCCACCTATTTAGGAGACGAAGATTTCGACTCCGGCACCGACACAGACACTATATCATCAGATGGTGTTGAAGCTCTAGATTGGTCAGATATCATGAATATGGATAACGACAATCAGCGTGCTGAGCATTTATTCTGGCTGTTACAACAGGCTAAACGAAGGTGGAGGAGGTTCACACGAAAACCAGTGCGTCGTGTTAGAAGGAGGATACGCAGAAGTTTTAAAGGAAAGGGTAAAGGCAAGCGTGGTCGTCGGAGGTTGAACGGGCGAGGTATCGCGGCATTTCTCCAGAGGCTCTCAGATGAACAACATGATGAGATATTCTTTGGGGGAAAAGGCCGTGGTAAAGGCCGTAGAGAGACCTCAGGTAAAGGTAAAGGTAGGCGGGGAAACCCGCGAGGTAGAGACGGCCAGGTTCTCAAATGCCATGAATGTGGTAGTTCCGACCATCTTGTGCGAGATTGTCCAGCGAAGGGAAATGGAAAGGGCATGTCGTCCGAAGTCCATTTTGGCTCAAGTGCACCATCCATTGAATATCTGAGCCTCCAGGACTTTGAGGCTATGGAACAGATATTTTTCATTTGGGTTGTTGGCATGGACAACATCGACGAGCTCGAGGGGTATGGTCATGGATTGTACGCGTACTACCTCGAGTACGTCCGCCGGTTCGTCACGGGCAGTAACGAACTCACTCCCGTGGAACACGGTACGCTTGGAAACGAGCCTCTTTCATTCTTCGACTGGATGTTCGGGAACCCAGGCAACATCATGGCCTACGAGAGTGACGACGAGGACACCACTATAGAGGCTTCGCCTTCCGAGGTTCAACGAAACCTCGAACCTCCGCCCGAAATCCCGCCTGGAAACAGGCCTTCTTTGATGGGAGAATATCCCCAGACCACTGAAGACTTAATTGAAATGGAGTCTCAGGCATTTGTTCAGGCCTTCATTGCAGGCGAACCAGATATTCCGTTCATACCTCCTGGTTCGCTTGCTCCAGACGAATATGGACCACGTACCCTTTTGCAGACCCTCATGAGGATGCATGAGATACTTACAATTGGTTATCCTGAGAGTCAAGAACACATCGAAGCTGGCATCATGACAGAACAGGATAATGATGCTTGCGGTAGCTCAGAGCTACTTCTGGCAGCTCTGACTCTCATTGACAGCGTGTATCCTCAGGAAGTGCAGAGACACTTGATATACTCCCGTGGTAGATGGCGTCGTGCTCTGGAAATGGCAATGGCTATGCGCGGTCATGATCTTCCTCCGCCAGGATGGGGTCTCCAGGCGGTGGGAATGAGGCCAAACCATACGGCCATGCGTAACATTGCTGGGCAGCCTATGCTCGGGGGCGAGCCTGAGCCGACAACAGTGCCTCCTACTCCGGGGCAGCCGAGCGACGCACAGACGCCGGCTATGCAGGGAAACCTGCCTGTACCAGATACGCCAATGGCCATCATCATCGGTAGTTCGACATCAGAAGAAGTAGAAGGCGATGGTTGCGGGTTAGATGAGGATGACGTCACCATCCTCATGATGGACATGAATTGTGAGGAAGAGGTTGACTTC